TCTGTCAGTGATAGACTTGGACTGCTTTAACTATTCAGACATAGAGATAGTGGAGGAGTGGGTTATGGAAAATTGTTTCTTGGGCAGGTAAGTAAAACAACCACAGAAGTTTTCTGAAGCTAAAGACTGTATTAGTAATGACAGACATTCTCCCTTTCCTCCTAGGCACCTGAATTCTAGTAATATTTCTTCCATATTTTACAGGTATGCAATGAGTAGAGAATTTTGCCATCAGTACACTGTGAAAAAGGCTGCACAATACATTTGTATGAAGACACAATATCCTTGGAGTATAGCTTAAGAGAAGCTGCATGCAGAGGAGATCAGAGAGGTGAGAAATTCTTCTTTTGGCCATATTAAAGTCAATATAAACACTGTGTGTGCTGGTGTTGTAAATATATATACAAAAACAATAAGAGGTTGGGGTAGATCTCTGAACAAACCCAAAATAACCCCATGTGCTTATGTATTATGGATGCATTCTAAGACCATTGTGGCACCAGACAGTACTGTAGACATCAAATGAAGTTATGAATTCCATTCATATTCTAAATTTCTTTTACAGTGTTGGAAAATGACATTGACCGCTTCATCCTATGGCAACTTTAAGATGTAACCATATAGTCAACCTGTCCTTCAGGTAAGCACACAGCTCACAGAAGAGAGGGACTGAAGTGCTGAGTAACACTTTCAAAACAAAACTTAGATCTTTCAAGATTTGTTTTGCATGTTTTAAGGTTTTCTTACAAACTTGTACCTTAATGGATTTGACTATGTGCACTGAGATAAATTATACCTGTAGGAGTGTGTGTGGTTTGGGACAGAAATCAGCTAAGTTTAAGTGGCTGAGATTGGCTTTTTCTGTTTTGCTTCTATTTGAAGCAAATTTTGCTTTGTTTTTTCGTTTGTTGTTTTTTTTTTTTTAAATGTTGCTTCTGTTATGAGACAGTTTGGAATATTCAGAAGCCTTTATCTGAAAGACATTGCAGCATAGGAGACTGTGGTTGACTGATGCTTATTTAGTTATGTTCAAGTAGTGGCTTTGCCACAAACCTTTCAAGTGATTTTGCTCAATTAAATTAAGCTCAGTGTCAAATGAAAATACTGGAGATTGCTTCCATTTTCTCTTTGCTGTCTACTTAGCCTGTCAGTTATTTGATTGTAATATAGTGGTTGTCACATATACAACAACGGCAAAATGAAGCCCTGGTCTTGAATGGGGCCTGTAAACAACACTGCAACATAACAAAGTTAATAGTTTGACATGATGATGCTAGAACTTGGTGTGTATATTTTAAGTGAGGGAACACCTGGTCCTCTCTAGTCTGAAATATCCCCGGGTCAATGAGTTTTAGTCAAATTGGTCAGGTGAGATCTGTTCCTTTGTATCAGGCCCGGCTCCTCCAGACACTATATAAGCAGTATCTTTAGAATTTACAGGCATCAGAAACTGCCTTGAAGAAGGTTTTTTTTGTATAGAGGAAATCTCTGCTTTCTTAATGCTGCTAGTGAAGGCCTGCCTGCAGCATTAGATCTGCCACCCTCTACTCTGAAGTGCTTTTCCTCCCCTTCCGCTGCTTTCCCAGTTACCCATTGACAGGATCAAACAGGATGGGGAGCAGCAACGGTTGCTGCAGAAAGGGGAGGCATGGTAGAATCAAACTCTGACATTCTTTCTATCAAATTAAAATTGAGCACTGTTATTTAAAGATACCCTCCTGCCAAGTATAGATTAGCCCAGGACTGAGCTGCTGAGAGTGTTGGGGACAATTTAAAAATTTAATTCAAACCTACCAGAATTTAAATTCAAGCCATCTTTGCTTTGTCTGCAAATGACCGTAGCATCATGGGCAGCAGCTGTGCAGCCTGTGGGCAAAGTTCTGCTGTTTGCATGTCCATGCCAGGAAAGTGCTCCTTAGCCTGAGAGGAGGCACTGGGCTGTGGCTGTGCAGAGCTCTCTGTAGAGCCCCCTTGGCCCTGTGTGTATGGACCGAGAGCAGCTGTGAACTGCTGACTCGGTGCATGAGAGGGCTATAGAGAGATAGTCATATGTGGAACTATTTCATACTCATCATTGTTATGTGAAGTGTTTAATCATTCCAGCAAACATAATATATGGAATTAACAACTTCATGTGATGTCCTTTACACCTGAGCAGCTATACAGGTTTGGTTTTTTTTGAATAATGTATTAGATATACATCACATGACCTTATATCACCTAGACACTGTCACACTGAAGCTTTACAGTTAAAACTTACAAGAAATATCTTGGACAACTCAGGCATTATTTTAGAAAGGTTAGGCACCCATTCTGTGTTCCTAGTACAATGTTAACTGATGTTTACAGTTAGGTGCTGTTAACTGATCCAGATATTTTACAGTATAGGAAACATTGCAAGTGTGTTTTCATAAAATGTGCAGGTTATAATTTCAGGAACAAGTCAGTGCCTGTGAATGCTTCATATTACATAAGTGAACCTCAACATCCAAGGCGATGCAGATCTTGTTTTAAGAGTTCGGTTCTGATCTTATTATTTTTTACTTTTCTCTTGCACACATATAGATCTTTTCCTATTAGGAAGCTAAGAGATGCAGGCAATATTTTTTGCTGCTAGTGGTGCATAATAATTATCAGAACCAGAACTCAAGCAACAGTGTTACCAAGTCCATTTTGTTAGCTGAAGTATAAGTGTGCTTTGTTACTTCTTAAAATATATATGCTTGTATATGTATATAAAAATAGTCTCTGAATTATTGCAGAAATAGATAAGTTGCTGTTACTATCAATACTTTATGGATATTGTGGTAACAGCTGATTTTAGAGCACTGATGGTGGCAAAACAGTTCCACATTGAACCAAAATTACACGTATTCTCAGGATACCAGTGTGGAATTGCATTGAACTCGTAGAGTTCTTAGTCCTCTAGTTCCCAAAGAGGACCAGGGTAGGTAATGGAAGGAACATTATAAAGCAAGGGATTTCTGAGAAGAAAGTCGCTCTGTAGCTGAGTGCTAAAGTACTCAAGAGTCTGGCATCTCTTGCACATTACAATTGGGTAGTTGGCCTATTGCTCACAGTAGGAGACAGGCAATA